TCGATTATTTTTAATCTATATATATCGATTAAATGCTATATATCGATACAAATCTGCTTAAAAATTTTCCTGATGAAGTGTTTGTCAGATAAAAAAATATGAAGTATGAGTATAAGAAAGATTAGATGTTGATTGGCAAATATTATGATATTTGGAAATTACTGATTGTGAGTTAGTACATATATGAACAGAACAGTGTTTAGAAGCAGTAATAATTGCTGAGAGAATAGCAAGAATTTTAGCTTTGAAAGAGCATAGCCACAGTTACATTTGTGCCTAAAATGAGTTAATAGTTGTAGAGTTATTAACTTGAACTTAATCTATGCCTATAGAGCATTGTAAGGTACTAAGATCAATAACAGAACCATTGGTGTAAAATGAAATAGATGATAGATTGTAGTTTGAGTTAGCAATAGTCTGAAGGTTATTAACAAGTTGGCATGTTTTAAAAATAGAAGATGGTTGTTGTAGATTAATTGTGAGTGAAGGTGAAGATAGAATATGTAAGGGATGTTAGAGAGCAACAGAGTATGCAATATCAAGAAAGTTTGCATGAAAGTTAAGAGTTTTGTCAAGATTGATATAACAGAGTAGCTTAGTAGTCAAGTTAGTAAGAATAAAAATAGTACATTTGTTAGTGATTGTATTTGAATTAAGATGGCATCTAGTACATAATATAGTAGTAGAAGAAGGAGTAGGATAGAAATTAGAAAACTAAGACTAGAATAAGCAGTGCCAGTAGTTAATAAAAATAAGACCAGTAGATGTATTATGCCTTCTGGCCTTGGTAATAATTATTTGGTTATCAAGAACAGTAAGTAACCAAGGTTTAGTATTAGAGATAAAGTAACTAGTAGAGTAGCAAAAGTAGTTTGTAAAAGGTAGGTTATAATAATCATATAGAGTGCATTAGTAAGAGTGGCTTGTAGTAGTGTCCTTAAGAGTAGTAAACTATTGTGATATAACACCTTTTAGAATTTTATTAAGTCTAGGTGAAATGTAGTAGGCAACATTATATATATATAATATTGCTTACTTACTCCAGATTGTTATCTACTTATTTCCTTAGACTAATACCTACTTATAATGATATGTCTGTCATCATTTGAGTAATGAACGATTCATGTTTGCGTCATTAGAGATATATTAGTATTTACTTTCCTTAGACTAATACCTACTTATGATGATGTGTCTGTCATCATTTGAGTAATGAACGATTCATGTTTGCATCATCAGAGATATATTAGTATTTACTTTGTCATTCAAGTAATAAATGATTCACACTTGTGTTGTCAGAGATATATTAATATTTGCTCTGTCATTCAAGTGACAATTAGTTCATGAGTTCATTATTATTTAAGTGATGATTAGTTTACGAGTTCATTATCATTCAAGTAATAATTAGTTTATGAGTTTATCATCACATTTGGGTATCTCACAATCTATAAAAATTATAATGACAATTTTATATTCGCATTATCACTTCTACATGTAACATATCATTTGCTAGTTTGGTGATTTTTGTCATCAATGTTGTGATGATAGAAATGTGATACTGTCATCAGTGTTGTGATATTACTAAACTTATATACCTTGAGCACATACCCAAAAACATACATCAAAATGGGTAGCCTTCTCTTATAATTATTATAATATATTACTGAAGTTAGCTACTCTAACATATACACAAAAATATATCCAGAAACATATCAGAAAAATAGGTAGCCAACTTCATTTTTCTTATAATATATTACTAAAGTTAGCTATCATGATCACATACCTGAAAATATACCAATAAAATAGATAATCATCTTCTATAATTATTATAATATATTATTGAAGATAGCTACTCCGAAAACATATTCAACATATGTCATTGAATAAATGTCATAAAGACATACTTGAAAACACACTTCAGGAATGGGTAGCCTTCTCCCATAATTATTATAATATATTATTGAAGTTAGCTATCTCTCATAATCTATTACTAAAGTTATATACTCAAAGTAATTTACTAATCAAGACTACAATTCTCTTCATTCATCTTACTAAAACTTAATGCATCTTTTTTTGATATCTCTTACCAGGCAAGAAAAAAAATTAATTTAAACTTTTTCAAACTATATTGTAATAATATAATCGAACAAAAATTGATATATACCAATAAAAAACAAAATACCAAAAATGAGTAAACAAAGTGCACAGCAAACACAGTATGGAGGCAGAAAAACTGATGACTATTCAAATAACTTAGATGTTTATAGTAATAATATATCTGAAAGTGAATCAGAGAATTGCAATGACTATAGTTCTAATTATGAATCAGATAATGAAACAAATACTATTGAGTCTCCAATATTCCAACCCTCTAAAGTAGAAGAACTAATGTCTAATACAACATATTTCACAAAGCAAATAAGCCTCACATATTCCAAAAGGCAAGAAAGATTTGATAATAAATTTATACAAAAAGATTTGCTAAATAAAATTTGTAAAATTGCTTTTTCACCTGCCAGAAATATATCAAATAATAAAGGTTCATTGAAGAATATACATCTGTGGGATTATCTCTTACCTAATTATGGAGTAAAAGAAAGAATTAGTCTACTTGATGCATATAAAAGAGAGGAGTTAGCAGATAAATTAGTTATCCAGATAGAACAGAATAAATATAAAAAGTTTTCTGTTATAGATGATATATCTGAAATATATAGAGTTTCTGAAGTACATAAATGTATTAATGGACAATGAGCTTTGAGACCTGTAATTGATATTGATGCTTCATTAGGAGATATGAAAGCTAAAAAAGTAAAAGCAAAAGATGTTTTTATTTGAATTTGTATTTTCTTTGTAAGAGTGCTATATATAATTATTGATTATAGTTGGGAAGAGATTTTTAAGGGATTAGTAATTGCTACATCATCTGATAATAATAAATGCAATTATCACCTCCTATATACCCCAATTCTACTTATTGATTATCTAGAACTCAAAGAATTTACAAAATTGATATATAAGCTAATGGAAAAAAAGTATGATAAGTTTATTGATATAGGATTGCTTGGCCAAAATTTTAATCTTCATCTCATCAGTTTTGCAAAAAACGATCATATGAAGCACATACTTTAATTCTTACTAGATAATAGATAGAATGATCTTAATGACATCAGAGTTCAACTATCTACTAGTTCGAGATTTGAAATAAGGCTCTGTATACTTAGTATAAAATAAATAATCAGAAAAAAATAATTATGGATCAAAATGCATTAAAAAAATACACGAATCTAGTTTTGCAGAAGTATCCTAATTATCTTGATGATTGAGATATTGAAGGAAAAAATTTTCAATAGTATGTATATTTCAATTGAAAAACATATCTAAAATGTCTACTATGCAATCGTACACATGACAAGGATTAGTGATGATTTGGTTATGCATATAGTAATGATTCATTCATTGTAAAATGTTTTCAGCAAAATTATAACAAATCAGAAAAAATTTTCAATGACCTATCTATTGCAGAAAATATCTAGCAAAAAAATAAAAATAATACCACACTACCTGTTTTTCATAAAATAAAGAGCTCTAAGTTCCTAAAACTCTTTTTGAATATACTACCCCAATATCAAAATATTAATGATTCTTTAACTATTACAATGGCATATAAAGATCAATATATAAAAACTTTATCAGAAATATTAGATATCTATGTAGGATCATCTTGGGGGATGAAAAAAACATATGCTTTAGAAAAATTAAATATGCCCAAAATATAAGCATGCTTGTAGTATCAATGCGACATTTTTATTCTAATGCTATTACTACAAGACTTAATCTTAAATTATATTGTGATATCAATTGTTCTATACACCTATCAAAACATCAAAAAGTAGTATGTCAAGTAGAGAGTTTGCATTGAGTAACAGATAAATATAAATGTCGTGAAAAATGCAAGTATCTAAAAACCCCTTATATATTAATATTAGATGAAATAGTATCAATTATTGCTCAAACTGGAAGTTGTTTTAAGGGTGCATACTTATCTCTTTTCAATTTCTTTAAATTGTTTTATAATGCAAGTCAGATAATTGTGTTAGATAATGATCTTACTGATCATAATATTGAATAGATTAAAACACTCTAACTCAATAAAACATTTTCAGTAATTTATAATATATATCAAGTTCAAAAAGATAAAACATTCCACTTGGCCCCTAATAGAGAAACTGTATTAACTGAGTTATGGGATTGGGGTAAACAAATGTCATCATTACCTTTCAAAAAGTGAAAAAGTGCATTACTTATCTGTCATAAAAGAAGAGATGTACAAGGTATTTTTCGTGGCCTTAGAAATAATTTCCCAGAACTACATATCAAAGAATATCATGTTGGGTCTAATTCTGTAGAGAAAACTTAAGATTTTAAAAATATAGAAGAAGCGTGAAAAGAGGTAAACCTTGTTGCATACATCAGTACATTAAAAATAAGAGTTTTTTGTATTTACTTTAAATTTGAGTAAGCATTTTGTTTGTTTACTAGCTATATAGAAACCAATACTAGAATGAATTAAATGTTATTTTATATGCAATGCATTAAGGATTATATATGTTATATCTAACAAAGGGCATCTAGAGCCCTAATCACAGAAGAGAAGTTGTTTCAATAGTTAATAAAAGCAAAACATGAATGTCTTTCCAAAGAACTTCAGAATAGAGAAGTATTTTCAAATATCGAGACTATTATTAAAAATAAAGATGTACTAACTATTCAATTATAGGTAGCCTTTATGTTAGAAAAATTTTAATCTTAATAACTATTTGGTTGGAGGATGATTGATTTTCTTAAAAAGGCAGGTATGATAGTTTCTATAATAGAGTTAATCCCTAAATCTGAAAATAATGATGCATTGTTATCAAAAGCAATAAGAGTGTATTTCTCTGTTGTTAAAGCAGAAGAGATTTCAGATATTGCTAATACCAATATTCTTAATTATGAAATGGCTAAGTGTCTTGAAAACAGCTTCAAAAAAAGTTTAAATAAAATACATGCTTTAAGGTGATACTATATAGCAGAGTGTTATGAGTATCTATCTGAATCTTTAACAGAGGAATTTATCGCAGAATATGGTAATCCCAACTATATGAAGTGGTTTAGAGCTTTCTGGAAATTATATAATGCTGGTATTAATAATAAGACAGCTGTTGAGGCCATTATATGTGAAGATTTTAGAAATGATAAACTCACAACTATCACTCAAGCTAAAAAACATTGAATTTGTCTAGAATTATTGAAGACATATACACCTGTTAAAGATATTAATGATCAGGATAGATATACAGCTGATATTGTTAAATTATGTTTAGAATCATCTAAGTCTATAAAGTATCTCCAAGATTTAGTACCAAAAATGGCCCAAGTTTTTGATAATACAAACACATCTCATAGCATTAAAAAATCTGGTTTAAAATCAGATAAGAGAAACTTGGTTTATTAAATTCAGCACTTTTTGCAACTTATAGAATAAAGTTTAAAGCTACTAACAATAAACAAACCCATTATTATCTAGTAGATCCATTTGATAAAGAAAGTGTTCCAAAGTTGCTATCATACCAAATAGGTGAAGAACAGTTCTATAAAAATGATGAAGATATATGTTATGGGTATAGTAAACTCTCATCTGATGAATTAGAGATCACTCTCAGTTCTGATATACAGTTGCGTCAAGAATTGTTTGATATCATTTAAAATAGGTATTTAGAATTTATAATATATCTTACAAAGAGGTTTTTGTGTCGCTTAAAATTGATACTTGTAAAAAAATCTATTATGAAAATCATTTTTGTAATGCTTAAAACTAATATCTAATAAAAGTAAGTATAATTATTTATCTGCTTCTATTCTCTGCGGCTTTTGTCTTTTATACCAATTTTTAAAGTAAACCCTCTTAGCATGTTTAGGACAATATCCCATCCCAGAAATTGTTAGTTTTTCACAGATTCCACAAGGAAATTTTGCTATATTCATATCATATAATTTCTAGTACAATAAACACCTTATGTCCTGCCAACAATCTTTTTCACAAATCGATCATCTCTTTTAACATATGGGCAGGTTGAATGCCTCAGACTATCACTTTTAACATATTGATATGTTGAGCACTCTGAATCATCTTCTTTAACATATTGACTAATTGGATACTCTATTCAAAGTGATTTATATATAATGTATAAAGTCTGTTTTACTTTTTATGTAAATATATTTAATATAAAATTAATTTAAACTTTTTTAAATTATTTTGTAATAATATAATTGAATATATATTAACACTATACATTACACTTAAATTGGAAATACACCAGAAAGTAGTCAACTTATTAACCAAGAAAGAGATCGATCACAATGGACCAACATTTCACAAACTAATATGTAATAGTTTTAGGTATGTAAAAAATTTAGCAGAATTTCTACAATTACCAGATATTATGAATTATTATTATCCTGAGCAAATTAGATTCATGAACACTCTGTCTTATCCAGCTATTATACCACCAATTGATATAATGAAAAATAGATCTGATATTTACAAAAAATTGTCTATAAGTATAGAAAAATACTAGAATCTATTCTAAGCATTATAAAAAATAAAACATAATAATAAACTAATATATTATATAGCCTGAGTAGCCACAACTCGAAGTTATAAATTTTTTCATTACATTCTATATGTTAGCAAGTTTCAAATTGACATCCTACTTATCCTATCCCTTAGATTGTAGACTTTTGCAGACAAATTTGCCTGCATAATTGTATTTTTTTAGCTCTGATCTATTTTTTTAAAATATTAAAGTATTTAAATA